AGATCCCCAACATCCACAACCTGACCTTCCAGAAGCTGACCAACCTCTCCCACATGTGAGTTGGGGGGGGGGGGGGGGCGGGGGAGCGGGTGGCTGCTGCTGCCCCGGCACCTGTGCCTGGGGGTGCTGGGTGCGGGGAGGGAAACCGGTTCACTCCTACACCCGTGAGCAAGTTATTTCAGCCCACTGGAAGCACCCCGAGCATGATGATACTGTTTAAATCCCCCTGGGGCAAGAGGGTCTGTCCTAGCTGGGCCTTACTTAGAGCAAGGGGAAGCATTTTGCCCACGCGAAGGGAGCGGTTTGCAGAGCCACGGCTGCCCCAGAGCGATCTGCATTTCTGAAGGTGCACATCACGCGGGTCCCTTGGGCAGGGTTGGCTCTGTCAGGCCGAGGCATGCTAGGCTGTGTGCTGAGGGCTGTGGTTAGGTAATCCCACAAAAAAAACCCCTTTTGCTTGGGTCTGAGATAATGACCCGAGAACTCCAGAGACGTGCAGATAGACAGGCTGGACGGGCATCGCACACAGGGTGGAAACAGGACCGCGCAGCCAGCTGTGAGTGCTTCAGCTTCTCTTTGGAAGGAGGAAAAAAAATCGTTCATTTTCTCCAGATGCACATTTTAAAGTACCTGTAATGAAAGACAACTGTACGTCTTCCTGTCTGTAATTGGTCTGTTTGCACTATAAATATGGTACATTTTTCTACCTGACTTGCTAATAAGCAATCATTTTCTCTCCTTTTATCTATAATTAAGCAGAAATAAGCCTCGCATTGCAGTTTTGTAGTCATTTTCTAATGTAGAGTTTTGCTAAGCTTATATGGGTTGGCTTTTATAAGGCTTGAAAAGATTAATCAGAAATAATATGCAGGGGAAAAAATTTGAATCCCTGTTAATGGAACTTGAAGGATTTGAATAAGGGATTGATTTTTAAATGTTAGTTTGTGAGAATCATGGGTTGGAGGAAAACACTCCTGTATTTATCAGTTGACAGTGCTGAATAGTGGCAGATTTAAGAGCGTGCCTGGGTTACATGATCCAAAAAGCACTGGGGTGCTTTTAGCCGGTTTTGCAAAGGCTTTGGGGTGTTGCTTCTTTGGTGTCCAAAACCAGCTGCAGTACTGGACGGGGAGCCCCCTCCCTCGCTCAGCT